GGCTTTTTTTTTTTTTTTTTTAATAGAAACGGGGTTTCACTATGTTGACCAGGCTGGTTTTGAACTCCGGACCTCAGGTGAGCCACCATGACTGGCCTCGTTTTCTCCCTTTTCTAAGCCCCCCACCTCTGTTTTTGTCCCGCGGTCTGGTCCTGTCTGTCTTGTTTCACCTGGCAGTCAGGGTTGACTTGTGATTTACCTGCACATCCCTGGAGCCCCTGGCCTGGTGGGGGATGCTGGTGGCAGAGTGAATTCGGGTCTGAGGCCAAGCATGTGTCTCTGAGAATACAGAAAATGAACCGTGATGTAGCGTTTACTGTGCCACAAACTTGAAATACATCATTTTGATTATGTCCAGAGAGAGGAAGTCATTTGACCACAGCCACACAGGTTACAGCAGGGATGGGGCCTGGGGTCCAGGTGTGAGCTACCACACCCAGCCCACATACACTTCAAAGATGAGCAAATCCAAGCTGAGTGCAGTGGCTCAAGCCTGTAATCCCAGCACTTAGGGAGGCTGAGGTGGGAGGATCACTTGAGGCCAGGAGTCCAGTCAGGTTTGGGAGGTTGAGGCAGGATGATCACTTGAGGCCAGGAGTCCATTCAGGTTTGGGAGGCCGAGGCAGAAGGATCACTTGAGGCCAGGAGTCCAGTTCAGGTTGGGGAGGCCAAGTTGGGAAGATAGCTTAAGGCCAGGAGTCCAGTTCAGACACCACCGTTTGAAGCGTCTTGAGATGTTTTCAGTAGGGGGCTGGGAGAGGTGATGGAAAGAGGCTGGTGGGTGGGCTTAGGCCCACCACGTGTTTCTAGCCAGAGAACCTTCCATTCATCCAAATGATTCTGTTGTTGGAAATGAAACAAAAAATAAAATGCTCTTAGGACCTTCCTGTGCAGGAACCATGGCCGACCTTTCCCTTTTTTACAAGTGATCTATTTTTTCACTAACAAAACCATTTAAGATTTCTATATAGGATGTGCTGTTTGATTAGTTTGACAGATAATCCCCCAAGAAACATCAGATGAACTCACTCTTTGGATTAAAGTGTGAGATAATAAAACGAGAATGCTTGTGTTGCTGATGTGGCCAGCCCAAGTATGTTTTTCTTACCAGCCCAGGGGTTCTGGGGGCAGGAGGTGTCCTTTGCAGGCCTAGAAGGACCCACCCTGTGGGAGCCTGGCCCTGTGACTTGCAGGAAGTCTCAGTGGGAAATGGTGGGGATGCCTCCCACAGCTCACGCTTTAAAACAAACAACTGACAATTACACTTTTTTTTTTTTTTTTTTGAGACAGAGTCTCGCTCTGTTGCCCAGGCTGGAGTGCAGTGGCATGATGTCGGCTCACTGCAACCTCTGCCTCCCGAGTTCCAGCGATTCTCCTGCCTCAGCCTCCCAAGTAGCTGGGATTCCAGGCTCACTCCACCACGCCCAGCTAATTTTTTCTATTTTTAGTAGAGACGGGGTTTCACCATGATGGCCAGACTGGTTTCGAACTCCTGACAATTACACTTTTTGAGACAGGTTCTCCCTCTGTCACCCAGGCTGGAGTGCAGTGACTTGATTATGACTCACTGCAGTCTTGACCTCCTGGGCTCAAATGATCCTCCCGCTTTAGCCCCCCAAGTTACTGGAACCACAGGCACCCACCACCATGTCCAGCTAATTTTTGTATTTTTTGTAGAGATAGGGTTTCGCCATGTTGGCCAGGCTGGTCTTGAACTCCTGGGCTTAAGCAATCTGCCTGCCTCGACCTCCCAAAGTGCTAGGATTACAGGTATCAGCCACTGTGCCCAGCCCACATACACTTTAAAGGTGAGCAAATCCAAGCCAGACATGGTGGCCCATATCTGTAATTCTGCACTTTGGGAGGCCGAGGTGGGCAGATTGCTTGAGGCCAGGAGTTCAAGACCAGTCTGGCCAACATGGCAAAACCGCCTCTCAACTAAAAATATAAAAATCAGCTGGGCGTAGTGGCTCACACCTGTAATCCCAGCTTCTCGGGAGGCTGAGGCTTGAACCCTGGAGGTGAAGGTTAACCAGTGAGCTGAGATCACGCCAGTGCACCCTAACCTGGGCGACAGAGAAAGACTGTCTCAAAAAAAAAAAAATATATATATATATAGGCATATCCAAATGGATCTCTGGTCTTATTAAAATAGCTATCTGGGAGAAAAATTTTCCCACAATTTCTGTTAAGCAGACAGCTGGTTACATGGTAGTTTTGTTTGTTTGTTTGTTTGTTTGTTTTTATTATACTTTAAGTTCTAGGGTACATACGCACAACGTGCAGGTTTGTTGCATATGTATACATGTGCCATGTTGGTGTGCTGCACCCATTAACTTGTCATTTACATTAGGTATATCTCTTAATGCTATCCCTTCCCCCTCCCCCCTTCATGGTAGTTTTTTAAATTTTGTTTTTAATAACATCTGAAATGCCTGGCTGAAAGTCTGGAGTTGGGGGCAGAGAGAAACTTAAAATGTTAGGTGTTTGCCCTTTGAGGAGCTGTCAGAATTGGAGAAAAAACATCCCAGAAGTTGTAATCAGTGAGGAAAACAGGATTCCAGCTATCCAGAGCTCCCCGGCTGTACACCAGCATCACGGGATGAGGGATGCCTGTGTGCACGTAGCCCTTGGTTTCTGAGCTGAAACAGCAGCAGCCAGGCCGACTTGGTGATAGGCTCGGCCTGCCCCTGCGGTGGACCGCCTGGGCCTTGGCCTTGGTCTTGGCCCTGTGGTGGATGATCTGAGCCTTGACCTTGGCCCTCCAGTGGATGATCTAAGCCTTGGTCTTGGCCTTGGTCCTGCCGTGGATGACCTGAGCCTTGGTCTTGGCCTTGGTCCTCCAGTGGATGACCTGAGCCATGGCCTTGGCCTTGGTTCTGCAGTGGATGACCTGAGCCTTGGCCTTGACCTTAGCCCTCCAGTGGATGACCAGAGCCTTGGCCTTGACCTCTGAAACTCTTCTATGCAAGGATGAGGCTCCCGTTGGTGACACCCACTTGCTCAGTCTACACCTGGGAAGCTCTTGGTCAGCTCGGCCTATTGACTTGGGTGAGAGATAGTTGCCATCCAGCAGGTGCTGGGTGTATGAGGGGGACTGGACCGAAACCTGACCCATGTGGGTCCTCATTGCCTCCTGACATCAGTCATCCCATGATCTCTTGGAAAGATAAAAACACATTTTCTGCGTTCTGGTGCCTCTCCTTGTCAGACATTTTCTCAGTCAAGTTTCTGTCTCTTTCAGCCTTGTTGGAAGTGCCAGGTTCTGAGCCTGTCCGTTTGCTGCTAGCCTGCCAGCTTCCCATGACCTGGGACCTGGGACGAGGGGCCTGCAGGTGTTTCTAGCTGGAGAGGAGTTCTAGATAGTTCTGAGGAGATGCCCTCCTGTGTCTTCCTCGGGAGAGTTCTGGCTTGGCTGGTGGTGTTTTCTGTGACCAGCAGTGGCCACCGCTACCACCAACCCCTCCTCCCCTTCCCCCTTCTCTATCTCCATACGCCCTGAGACTGGCCAGTGGGCAGCATATTGTGCAAGAAACAGCTGTTGTTTTGACAAAGGACATACTCGCCTCACTTCTTGCATCACCAGACCCACGAGGCCGTGGATTCCAGGCCTCTGTCCCTGCAGGTGGACACACACACCGTAACACAGAGGCTCACGTGTCCTACACTATGCATTACAGAAAGTATTACTCCCATCACCACTTGTGTACGCACTCGTTCACATTTAACAGGATTGTAAAAATTAATAGATAGTGCAGTTTTTCCAGCTAGATCATGCATGCAAATGGCAAGACAGTCCAAAGATACACACTGTGGAGTGAGTCCCCCTCACCACTGGCCCCTCTGGAGAGAGCCAGGCACGGTCACAAGTTTCTTCTGTATCTCTCTGGAGATAATCACAGCCTATGCGAGCATATGGATGGATATTCTTTTAAACATTGTGTTGCGGTTTGCTTCTTGGCTTGCATGTATCTGATATCATATCCCTTACAATACACCGTGTTTTTTTACACTGCAGGAAAATCTGTGAGGGGCTAGACCGACAGGGTATTGCTGGGCGTGGAGGAGGTTGGGGCCAGGTTTTTTGCTCTTTGTGACTTTTTCGTGCCTTTCAGATGTGACGACTCTCCATACGCCTTCTCACACGTGACCCGTGACTCATGGGCCGAGGACTCTGCATTTGGGACCCCCACCTCCACCTCCCCAAAATGCATTTCATTCCCTTGTTAATGTGTCATTGTAGTTGACGCTTTGAGGATAGGCAGGCTTGGTAGATAATAAAACAGTATTTGGCTTATGTTTAATCGCTGTCTCCTCCCACAGCCCGAGAACGCCTTAGCGTCCTTCAAAAAGGATTTGGTGGTGCTGTTTTTTATGTGTGTGTGTGTGTGTGTGTGTGTTGTTTTTAAAAAAGTTTTTTTCCAAGGGACCCGGTCAAAGATTTCAAGCCTTAAATCTGATCAACCCAATCTGGGGCGGCGGCAGCTCAGTCTCTCCTCCTCGCTGTGCCAATCTGTTTCTGTGGTGGCGGGTGGCGGCTCGGTGTTAAATTTGGAGACCCCCGTGGGTTTCCCATGCCGACCTGCATATGTCTGCAGGCGCAGGGAAGGGAGCGCCGCAGACCCCCGTTGAGTCCCCGACTGCCAGCAGCAAGTTGCCACAGGCGCACTGGCTCTGCAGCCCCGGGATCAAGGTGGGTTCACCTTGCACCGGGCCACCTGTTTCAGTTCCCTGCTCCCCCAGGCAGGCTCCCTGACAGATCAGCCCAGGGAGGGGCAGGTGGGGGCCGAGGGGGATGGAGGGGGCCCACAGACCCCCTGCTCATCTGGCGTTCTCCCCAACATTTTCCACACTTGATCCACTAGATGAGAAGCTGGGGGTCGGGGCTGGGACCCCACAGTCCCCTTCCTACCTCCAGCGCCTGCTGGCTCAAAGACATCAGTAGACACCCACTGATTGGGTAACGGCCCCCAGCACCCCCACCCTGTGAGGCTTCCATGCAGTGAGGGAAGTAGGGACCCCCGGCTGAAAGCAGTCATGTTCTTTTTTGTTTTTCTCCTAAGTTTTCTGTGTCTGTGTGCGATTGGAACGAAACATCAACTCTTTTTTTTTTTTCTTTTTTGTCATATTTCAATATTGGCTTTCTTCCCCGCCTTCTTTCGAAGGCTCCTTTTATAACTTCGGCTGCTGCTGCTTAAATATAGATGTCGAAGCCCTCCTCCCTCCAGATTGTTTATATTTTTGAAGAGCCTTCTGCTTCGCTGTGACTGCTCCTCTCTTATCTGTATCCCCCGTTCCACCACATTGGTTTCGGTTGCTCTTTTTTTTTTCCCTGCCTTCCCTTAACTGGGATGTGTTTCAAATGTGGTCTATCAAAATGTTCAGTGTTTCCCTTTTTTCTGCAATAGCTTTGACATCTGTTCTTGAATTCTAGCCCACGTTATTCCTTAGGACTTGTTTGCCCAAGATGTGCCTGTATGCCAGAAATACTAAGGGGAGAAGAGTGTGGTGTGGTGGTATCTTCCCCTCATTGCCTGGTTTGTTGTTTTATTGTTGTTGTTTTTTTTTCCTTTCCTCCCCTGCTTTTTAAAATGTCTACGATTTCTTTCTTTCTTTCTTTTATTTTTCCCTTGGAACATCTCGCTCTATTGCCCAGGCTGAAGTGCAGTGGCATGGTCTCAGCTCACTGCAACCTCTACCTCCTGGGTTCAAGCCATTCTCCTGCCTCAGCCTCCCAAGTAGCTGGGATTACAGGCCCGCCACCATGCCTGGCTAATTTTTGTATTTTTAGTAGAGACGGGGTTTCGCCATGTTGACCAGGCTGGTCTCAAACTCCTGACCTCAGGTGATCCACCCACCTCGGCCTCCGAAAGTGCTGGGATTACAGGTGTGAGCCACCTCGCCCGGCCTATCTGTGATTTCTGTGATTTCTAAGTTGACAGCATGTTTTCATCCCATCCAGCATGGCCCAACCCATAGTGGTACCAAGGAAGCATTTCCCAGCGAGAACTTGTAACGTGTAGGTTTGCTGGTTTACTTCTGCCAAGGAGGAAAGCCAGTGGGCCATGATGAGGTGGGTGGGGCAAGGGGGTGGCGAAGGAGAGGCTGTAGTGTGCTTCTTGGAGGCGTGGGGATAAATCTTGAGTTTTGATTTTTCTCGCCGTTCAGCCTTTGAAATGTTAGGTTCTTGCTCTGCTTGGACTCAGGGTGACGGTCCCCACCGTTGAGAAGCCAGCTGGAGCAGCCACCTTGGATCCCAGCAGAATGGGCCGCTGTGTGTCTTTAGTCGCCGAAGCGACTCGGCAGGAAAACAGGCCTTTTGGTGGCGACAGCAGTGTGTCCTTGGGCGCCTGCTGTCAGCCTGGAACACCATTCTGGGGCCATCTGCTGCAGGCTTGTTGGAAACAGATCCTCTTGGCAGCTCTTCCCAGAATTTCCGAGGCCAGGGCACAGGTTCTCTGGCGCGTTGATTATCGGTTTGTTGCGGGGAGCAGAGCCCAGAGCCCTCAGTCCCCTGGCGGGTTCCTCATGGGGGACCCACTCCTGGTGGTCCTCAGCGTTCCCGCACAAGTAATGTGGTTTGAGAATAATCGCCAATGCCAGGTGCCTCGTTTCCGAAAAGTGGTTGGAAATAATTATTCTTGGAATTTACGTTTTAAAGATCCCTCTTGAAAACTAATCATAGGTTAATGGTCTTGAACATGATGCTTGGCCTAGAGTGAGCTCACCGTAAATATTTGTTGAATGAATACAAACCAAATATTACTCCCAGAGATCCCAGGCCCACAGCGTCGAAGGACGGCCACAGGAGGCCAAGGAGGGGATAGCCGAGGAGGGAATAGCTCAGCAGGACTAGAGCCCAGGAGAGTGACTGGAAGGGACCCTTCCTTGGCTGGAAGAACAGGGATGGAGCAGCTTGGGGAGGCGGGTCCTTTGGGCTTGGCCTGATAGTTGTGGCTGGAGCAAAAAAGATGTTTCTGTGTATTCTGTTACCGGAACAGAGTCATTTATGGCGGGCACATTGAGGCACGACCCGTGGCGTTGAATGAGCTTGGTTTTCTCAACCACTACACATGGGACGGACGAGGGATGGGTGGATAATATAATGTTCATTTCCCTGCCTTCCCGCCGCCCTCCAGCCCCTCCTCTGCCGATGATTGACGATCCCTAGAGCTACTGGGGTCTCTCCCCCAGTGTTCTGGTCAAATGCAAATAGGACCCTCCTCTAGTACACAGTACAATTACAAACTCCCTTTTCCTTTCCTGTTTCCCCCAACAGAGAGAACTCGATGCCACCGCAACGGTATTGGCGAACCGGCAGGATGAAAGCGAGCAGTCCAGAAAGCGGCTTATCGAACAGAGCCGGGAGTTCAAGAAGAACACTCCAGAGGTGAGGCGGGTGACCGTCACAGTTGCTTTGGAGGGATCTTAGAATGCTGGGGCATATTCAGGCAATGCTCCGTGAGCGTTTCATTTTCATCAGTTGAATGCGCGGTCGGCAAACAACCTGTTTCTTTCCCCGGATGTCTTCAGCCCCATTTCCAGCAGAATGCACGCCACCCTGCAGGCCGTGGGACGTGGAAATTGATAGGTTGTCTGGAAGTATGAAAGCCAGAGCTAATTCCAGGTGCAGATACTGGACAAGCTGGGTCTGTAAGAACACGTGGGCAGGTGTGTGGGTGTCTCAGACCCTCGAGTTCGTCCCAGACCCTGTCCCATGTCGGTTAGCAAGCCACCGAAGTCCATAAGGGATCCTGTGGGGTGGAAGGCCCTCGGGGCCTGCTTCCCCGGTGCTGGGGCAGTGTCTGAAGGCTGCACGCATCTGGGCATAGCAACACGCCTGACGCTTCTTGTAAAACAGACATTTCGCCTGCTAGGCCTTTTAAATGCCTCTCTGTTTCTTGAAATACGCCCTAAAGGGCAGTGGAAATGTGCTTTTCACATACTCCTGTTTTTTCTCTCGTGAGTGTGCAATCGGGGGACAGTGTTGAGTTGCTAGGGTGGTGTTTTTCTGCTCCTTTCCTGGGCCCCTTCTTCCTTCCCTTCAACCCTATCAGAGGCTTAGTAAGAAAAAGAAAAAAGACCCACGCGTGTTGCAGGCAGATGAGCAGTCGCGGGAATGGCTTTCCGGGTGACGTCTGCCAGTTTGGTCCCCATGGCACTCATGCCGTGGTCTCGGACCCCACCCTCTCTTACACCTTCCCCTTGTATGGGAAGAGGTCGCAGCAGCCCACAACTTTGGCCCGGCTTCCGGGCTTGGGGAATCTACAGCTCTTGGCTCCTCCCTGTAGGACACAGGAAGATGCCTGGAGGCAAAGCTCCGTTCTAAGAGAGATGCCCCTCTCTTACATAATATTGCTGGGAAATTATATGTGAATTGCATTTTTAAAAGGAGACTCATTTAAAATGTTTCAAAGGAGGCTTGCTAGTCAAGGGAGTGCTGGCATGAATCATTATGGAAAACAAATTAATAACCTTATGTCTTCAGAATAAATATTTTGGGAGAAAGCTTGGTAGCAGAGTGGAAAGAAGGCAGCCTTTGGCCACAGAGCCAGCCAAGGGTTCAAATCTCACACCCGCTGCTTGCCTCCGCCTGCCCCTAAATGTGGGTACTCCATGTTTCACGAGACCAAAAATGAAGATGGGAGTCACTGGGGGTGCTTGGGGGTTGCTGCCTTCTCTGCCCGTGTTGGGGAGTGGGGGGCCCTATTCTCCGTGTCAGCCTTGCCCTGAGTAAAAACAAGAGGAAAAAAAGAGTTGGGGACAGAACATCCTTCTTCTGTTGCCTCCAGCGGCTTCAGAGCAGACTTTCCTGGAACTCTGGTTTCCTGAGAACTTGTCCTTGACTCAGTTTCCCCAGCCCAAGCCCCGCCACATCCATCTCATGAGCTCCTTGTAGTGCTGTTTCTGTAGCGAGTGGCCGTCCGCCGTTCTGTATTGTCATTGCCCTTTCCTTGGTGACCACATGTCCGCCGGTTTCCATAGAAAATCTTAGAGGTTTGGCTGGGCGCAGTGGCTCATGCCTGTAATTTCAACACTTTGGAAGGCTGAGGCGAGCAATCACTTGAGGTCAGGAGTTCAAGACCAGCCTGGGCAACATAACAAGACTCATCTCTGTTATAAAAAGAAAAAAGAAAACATTTTATGATTAAAAAAAAAAAAAAGAAAATCTGAGAGGGGCAAGGCCATCCTTCTGAGGCCACGGACAATAAATACACGAGTGTAATCAGCCAGAGAATGAGGCTCCAAGAGGCCTGGATTCCCGGGTGTTCCTCAGAAGTCCCCAACTCCTAGTGACAGTGGAGAGGAGCATGTCCTCCTTCGGTCACCCTGTCTGTCGCATATGCTCTGCTGATAAATGCTGCTTGTACTCTGCTGAGCCCTGTCCCTCCATCGTGCCTTGTGTCGAATTCCACATTAGTTACTCAAAGACAGCTGGCCTTAAACTTGGCGTTTTTATCTCCTTCTGATCCCAGTAAATGGAAGAGGCTTGGGCAGGCGGCAGCCTGGTAGGTACCTGCCGCTTGGGGCATTTCTTCTCAGGACACATTTTTAGACTCATCTTCATGGAGAAGGGGGCTGGAACCCACCTGCTTGGCCCCGACCCCGCCACTGCCAGTGGGTGGAGGGTGGCGCCCACTTCCTCATCTTTCGCTGTAGTAAGGAGGGTCTCACTGCAGCCTGCAGTCCTGGGGAGGTGGGGAAGGGGGAGTTGGCTGTAGGCTTCCGCCCCGCCGGCCCCATGCACTTTCCCATCCAAGGGCCAACCTGGAAATCTGTGGAGCGCCCATGCGGGAAGTACAAGGTGAGACCCACTTCACTTGTGCCAGCAGCCAGAGCCTCCTGCTGGAAACTTCTTTTAATTTTTTGAGACAGAGTCTTGCTCTGTCGCTCAGGTTGGAGTGCAGTGTCACAGTCTCGGCTCACTGCAACCTCCGCCTCCTGGGTTCAAGCGATTCTCCTGCTTCAGCCTCCCAAGTAGCTGGGATTACAGGCACGCACCACCACCACAACCAGCTAATTTTTGTATTTTTCGTAGATTTCACTGTGTTGGTCAGGCTGGTCTCGAACTCCTGACCTCAGGTGATCCACCCACCTCAGCCTCCCAAAGTGCTAGGATTACAGGCATGAGCCACCGTGCCCGGCCCTCCTGTTGGAAATTTTGAAGCCACATAAGGCCAGAGCGGTGGTGGGAGCAGGTGGCTGTGGCTGGAGTGTGCAGAGCGGTGGTGGGAGCCGGGGGCTGTGGCTGGAGTGTGCAGAGCGGTGGTGGGAGCCGGGGGCTGTGGCTGGAGTGTGCAGAGCGGTGGTGGGAGCCGGGGGCTGTGGCTGGAGTGTGCAGAGCGGTGGTGGGAGCCGGGGGCTGTGGCCGGAGTGTGCTGGGTGTGCAGGAGGCGGGGTTCCCTGCTGTTCCCTGTGACAGCAGGTGTGTGTGAGTTGGGGGGCTGTGACAGTAAGTGTGTGTGTGTGTAGATAGCACATATGTGGAGCCTCAGCTCAGTGCCTGGCCTGCGCCCCGAGGGGACATTGGGTCACCATTTGTTTGGGGTCTCAGTCTTGAGGAGCCACCACTGCCCTGACACTGGTTGTTCCTCTGGCCACACCGCAGGATTGATTACTAATCATGGAGGTGACGTTGGAATGTTGCATATGTAGAAACGGGGCTTGCTTAGAGCTTTCGCCCGTGGGGTAGGACAGCCTGGCTTACCAGGAGGAGGGTGTCCTCTTCCCTATGGATGCAGCCCACGATCCTCACGGCTCCATACCTTCCAGGGCACAGCATGGCAGAGCCAGGGCTGGCGGTGTTCCTGCTGGTATGACACCAAGAGTGTTGATCTTGGTGGAAATGCCCAGGTCTCCTTTTGTTCTGGGAAAGGAGGAAAGGTTCTTCGGTGTCTGATGAATGTCTAATGTGTTCCACGAGGAGGATTAGGCACCCATGAGGGTTCAGTGGGGAGTAAGGTTCACCTGCCGTTGGAGATTTCACCTTCCAGACTGGCCTTTCCCAGATGTCACTGGGAAAAGCTCTAGTCCAGGAGGGAAAAGGTCTTCTGATGGGGACGTGACTGGGGAGGGATGCTTTGTGGTGACTGGGACTCCAACAGGCGGGAAAAGCCACAAGAACATCAAGAGGTGAGCGCCAAGATGGCTGGAGCCTTGAAGGGTTTTTCTGGGGACAGGATCCTGCTCTGTCACCTGGGTTGGAGCGCAGTGGCACGATCACAGCTCACTACAGCCTCCAACTCCTAGGCTCAAGGAGTCCCTCCGTCTCAGTGTCCCGAGTAGCTGGGATTACAGGCACGTGGCACCACAATGCCTGGCTATTTTATTTTATTTTTATGTTTTTTTTTGAGACAGAGTCTTGCTCTGTTGCCCAGGTTGGAGTGCAGTAGCATGATCTCAGCTCACTGCAGCCTTCACCTTCTGTGTTCAAGCAATTCTTCTACCTCAGCCTCCTGAGTAGCTGAGATTACAGGCATGTGCCACCACACCCAGCTACCTTTTTTGTATTTTTAGTAGAGATGAAGTTTCACCATGTTGCCCAGGCTGGTCTCGAACTCCTGACCTTGTGATCCACCCGCCTCAGCCTCCCAAAATGTTGGGATTACAGGTGTGAGCCACCGCGCCTGGCCATAGTTTTTAAATTTTTGGTAGAAACAGAGCCTTTTGCTGTTGCCCAGGCTACTCTCAAACTCCTGCGCTCATGCAGGGTCCTCCCACTTCGGCCTGCCAAAGTGCTAGGATTCCAGGCACGAGCACTGCGCCCAGCTGGAGGTTTTCTGTTTAGAATTAGTTTTTCGAAGTTTCAGTTTTATATCATTAGATTAATATATTTGTCGTCATTTGATATTGTGTCTTTTTAATCCAGAAATTGTAATTTACAGAAGATTGCAATTACTCTGCAGATAAAATTGTGTACATTTTCTTTAAATCTAAGAACAGAGTCCATTTGAAAGAAAAACGTTTTTAAATGTTCTAACTGAGCATCCATTCCCTATTGAATTAAGAATCCATCATGGAACATAATAGGCGGTGGAGTATTTCTAGGGTATATTGCTTTCTATATTTTTGGGTTTTTTTGGAATATAGTGGCACAATCATAGCTTACTGTGGCCTTGATGTCCTGAGCTCAGGCGATCCTCCCCTTATAGCCTCCAGAGTAGCTGGGACTATAGGTGCGTGCCACCACACCCTGCTAATTTTATGTTTTGTAGAGGCCGGGTCTCACTTTGTTGCCCAGGCTGGTCTCAGACTCCTGGGCTCAAGCTAAATCTCCCACCTTGACTTCCCAAAGTGTAGGGATTACAGGTGTGAGCCACTGTGCCCAGCTCTGCTTTTTGTATTTCTTACTGCAGGCGACATACTTAGTAGCTGTGTTTCTTGGGGCAG